TAGTGCAAAACAGACATATTCTTGGAGACTGCCTCAGGAACCTTTAGAAATATAGCTCAGTCTTGTCTTTGTGCTCTGGGACTCAGAAGTAAACATGTTGATACAATGTATCTGATAAAGCCAAGTAAATCAAGAGAACGAGAACTGTCCATGAATTCATCAGCACTAGATTTCTTTTTTTTCTCATCTTTTGAGATTATGTATAAGATCCACGCATTAGAGACTGAAGCGCATAAAAGATGTATAAAAACTTGCCACCACCATTTATTATTACGCAGTTGCGGGCGATAATTAGAAATATTTCTATCCATTAAATCTGTACCACCCATATTAGTATTGTACTGCTGAATAGCATGAGGCATCTCTACCATAATATATTTTTTGTCCGCAGCAGAATAACGGCGTGCTGCTTTTGTGGGCTGCAAGCCAAAGCAGTTTGAAGCAACATGGACTATGGAGTTATTGCATAACAATAACTTCTTTAGTTGAATTAACGTATGAGTCCATAGAACCACTATGCGATTTCTTCATTGCAGATTTATTTAGAGGACATTTTTCTAGTCTGTTTTGCCGGATCGTACCTGTGCATCCAAAATCCATTTCACTTAATCTTTTTATCAGTGGAAGACCCGTGAAAAAGTTATCTATAAAGAAGAATTTTTGATCTGGAAATTGCTGTTTCAATTTTTCTGCAAAGGTGTAAACAACAGATGCTCCTAGGCCGAGGTCGCTATCTCCTAATATTGTTCCTTTGCCTTGATATGGTTCAGTGTTCACAAGATAAGCGTTTGATACATTTGCAGACCAAAATTTGAACCCATATCTAATAGGCTTTCCTTGAATTCTTTGCTTGCAACTGTGGTGACTTACGTAGTATGGTACCATTGATTCGTCAACAGATATTGATGTGGTTTGAGTAAGAGGGGTATGCTGTAGAAAAACAGTGTTTAGGTGGTTGATCAGTGGCCTTACTTTCCCAAATTTGTCATTGGTTGGCAGCTGAGTGTTATTTACAAAGTGCAAATTTCTCAAAATATCTCGGAATTTATTTCTTGACATCCCCTTAGCAACCGCTTCATTGCGAAGATCAGAGTCCATACTCCAATACATATCTTTCCTGGGCCTTTTAGAGTAACCAGAAAATAGCAAAATTGAGAAAAAAACCTTTAGTTTAATTTTTTGCTTTTGGGTACGTATTTTACTAAAGGCTCATCGTCATCACTGCTGGATTCTTGATGCTGCTTACTGCCATGTGATACAAGAGTAGCTTCAGCTGGTGCACCTAATATTTTTTGAGAAAATTTCTCACAAAAATCCCCTTCATTTTCATTTCCTGAGGCTTCAGAGTCGCCCTCAGAATCCTCCATTGGTGAACTTATACAGGGTGGCCAAACACGTGACGTCATAAAAAAAAAATTAGATTCCCCACATCGAGAGGAACCCAAATCACCCTCATATATATGGTCCGATTTTGTTTAGTTTAGGAGTTATGATTTTTTTTCGGATTTTTCGAGAATTTTTGAGTTCTGTGTTTATTTTTACCATAACTTCGTTAATAATTGTGATAAATGCCTGCTTTTTTCACGATTATGTAGCTAAGAGCTAAGGCTTAACTATCATATAATCATTCAAGTCATGTAACTAATACTACTTTTTAATTTTTTTCAATATCTTCGAACATAACAAAAAAGTAAAAAAGTGCAACAACTTTGAACATTTATAAAAAATTGAAAAAACATGTTCTTACTATTCGTAAGTATCTCAAAAACTTCCTTACGGTATCAGCTATTTACCGTAAAAATTTCATCAACCTAGCTTTACTACATGCTACCGTAATTGTGGCTCAAATAGAACCGAACCCAAAATTGGATAACCCTCTGCCCAATAGAAATTGTTAGTTTCGGAAAAAAAAATTGCAAAAACCACAAAAACACGTTTGATTTTTACTGAACAGCAGATTATTATTCATTTATGTTATTTACAAGAGGTTTTCAAAATGTCTGCCTCTAACAGAAATGCACAGTGTACACCTACGTATGAAATTTTGTTTTAAATCTCTAAATGCTTGTGTGTTGTTTTTCAACACATGTGTCGCTTCTTGAATTTTGTTCCTCAATGAATTTTCATTTGCACATTCTTGGGCGAATGTTATGTCTTTAAAATATCCCCAAACAAAAAAATCAATGGGGTTGAGGTCAGGGGAGCGTGGAGGCCATCGTATCGGTCCGTTTCGTCCGATCCATCTGTCTGGGAACCTTTCGTTTAAGTAGTTTCGCACGATCGTTGCGTTGTGGCATGGTGCACCATCATTCTGGAACACCATGTTCCGTCTGGCTTCCAGGCTTGAATCTTCCAGCAATAATGGTAGGCTATTTTCAAGGAAGCTTTTGTAGGCTACCGAATCCAACCTTGACGGCAGTTCAAATGGACCGATAAATTCCATATTGAATATTCCTGACCACATGTTCACACTAAAACGGTGTTGAAATGTCGACGGCCTTGACTGGTGGGGGTTTTCAACAGCCCAAGCATGTAAATTATGCCTATTGAATATCCCTGTTCTTTCAAAACGTGACTCGTCAGTCCATAAAATTTTATCAAAAAAATCGGGATCCTCTCGTTGTCTTCGCAGCATTGTCTCGCAGAAATCCACTCTTAACTGGTAATCTGAAGGCATCAACGCTTGAACTCTTTGAACATGATAGGTATGATAACCTTCTTCATGAAGAATATTTTGTATCGATGTTCGTGGTATTCTAAGGTTTTGTGCCATAGATCTCGTACTCGTTGAGGGATTCCGGCTAATTTCTTCAAGTACTACTTCTCTGCGATCCGGATCAGCTGTAGGATATCCTTCATTGCTTCCTCGTCCTGGAATGCGGCCTGCCATGAAAGTGTTATGTGTGTTGATAAAAACACGGTGGTCTGGGTAATGCTCAGGTTGTGGTCCGCCTCGGCGTATAAGTTGTTCCCGGTACAGCTGAGCTGCTAAAGCGCCGTTCCTTGAAAATAGCCTACCATTATTGCTGGAAGATTCAAGCCTGGAAGCCAGACGGAACATGGTGTTCCAGAATGATGGTGCACCATGCCACAACGCAACGATCGTGCGAAACTACTTAAACGAAAGGTTCCCAGACATATATATATATATATTTTAAAGACATAACATTCGCCCAAGAATGTGCAAATGAAAATTCATTGAGGAACAAAATTCAAGAAGCGACACATGTGTTGAAAAACAACACACAAGCATTTAGAGATTTAAAACAAAATTTCATACGTAGGTGTACACTGTGCATTTCTGTTAGAGGCAGACATTTTGAAAACCTCTTGTAAATAACATAAATGAATAATAATCTGCTGTTCAGTAAAAATCAAACGTGTTTTTGTGGTTTTTGCAAATTTTTTTTCCGAAACTAACAATTTCTATTGAGCAGAGGGTTATCCAATTTTGGGTTCGGTTCTATTTGAGCCACAATTACGGTAGCATGTAGTAAAGCTAGGTTGATGAAATTTTTACGGTAAATAGCTGATACCGTAAGGAAGTTTTTAAGATACTTACGAATAGTAAGAACATGTTTTTTAAATTTTTTATAAACGTTCAAAGTTGTTGCACTTTTTTACTTTTTTGTTATGTTCGAAGATTTTGAAAAAAATTAAAAAGTAGTATTAGTTACATGACTTGAATGATTATATGATAGTTAAGCCTTAGGTCTTAGCTACATAATCGTGAAAAAAAATTTGAATCGAGTAGAAAACCGTCGGAGACGCGATGAAAGATGTGTTGGATAATGGAAAGTGAGCATGTGGTATGTATAGGTCACTGTAGACTCTTGATTCAATTACAAAGATTGACTCAAAACTGTTTCTTTTTTAAGGTGATCCAAAGTGTTTCCAGTCAGTAGCCAGGCTTCTGCAGATGCTGAGATGCTGAGGAAGATTAGAGATGCAGAGGTTACTCATTTGAGGAGTGTAATATTTGAAGATCATACCTGTTGGAATCTTCACATAACTTTTTGAACAGTAGAGCACTACGAGAAGTTCAGCCGCCGGTGTCAACCCCTGAGGTGCTGAGAATTATCAGAAGTTCGAAGATTACTTGTGATCTAACCAAAAGGCACAGCTCTGAAGGATATTTGCAGACCATAACATTTGTAAGTTGTTATATGACTCAATAACCATTGATGATTTGAACTGCTTTTTAAAGCCTAAACTAGTTTAGATACTTCATTTTAAATCATCTATTCTTGGAGCAGCAGGGTTGATATGCAAATCACACTATAATTTCAATGAAATCGAAGCCAATTGTTGTTATTAAACAATAACATGGCTGCCCCCAGAGGGCTGTGGTAACAGTTATTTATCTCTTGGTCATGATCAGCACCCATGAGAGAAATTCCTGTGGGTATCCATGGACAATAATATTATTGTTCTAATAAAAAAAGAAATCTGAATTGTAGTAACATATCAACACAGTTCAATTTTTTCCTAATTTTTTATTTATGCAGGTGGCAACAAAGGCTGGGGAATGAGAACATCTGAACCATAATAATGTAAATACTGATTTGTTTGTAGAAAAATGTATGAGATATATACAATGTCTTTTTTTAAATGTCCCCTTATAAAAACCATATTTTAAATTTATGTTCACTAGTCAATCGAGCATTTCATTAATTATTCCTATCTTAAGCCAATCTAGTGGGACTATCTAGAAAATTCCAAAACTGACTTGAGCCGCCATCTAGTGATAATTATTTTATCTAATTTTATTTCATTATATCCATTTAAAAGATGTCTACCTTATTATAAGGCAGCTTAGGATCTTTACGCATAGATGGCGCTAACTATACGGTTTTGTAGTAATGAAACTAATCAATCAAAAAATAGATTCAGTTAATTTAAACCAAATCAAATGTTAGGATTCATTTAATCTAAACCAGTTCAAAATAAGCAAGCTCATCACAAGGTTTAAATGTCAACGTATGTCATTAACGTCAATGTCATTATCCACTTGATATTTGGGAAATTTACTTTGAAATACTAAAAATGCTTTTACAAACTCGGGAATGGGGAATGGATATATTTTTAAGAAAACCTAAGAATATAATCAAATCCAAGCGATCAACCAAAATTTCTGTGTTATGTACCGCGGTTATAGTATGGTTTAAGATGACACACGGGTTGATGACGTCAGTTACTCGAATCGCTTGAACGCGTTGGTTTTAACCGCGGTTTTGTTGCAGGTTGTTTATTTTAGAAATGCGCGTATATTATACCTAGTTTCTGATTATTTTTATTATCACTTAATAATCAGTGCGTCTACAACAGTGATATGGAAAGTTTAAACAAGAAAACTTTCATGATATTAATGGGAGAAATGTTTTTTTCCTCAGAAGATATTGTTCATGTGTTGAATCACTTGAAAAAATCGCTGTTATGTTCACACAAGTTTGTCGTGAATATAAAGGATATGACGCCCAAAATTTTAATGGTGGAACCATGGATTTGTAGCTATGAGAACTTCCAGTTCTTTAAACTTTTCCGTATGTCAAAGAAAACATTTATTGAATTAGCAGAAAAGATAGGAAAAAGCGACGAAAAAAAGATATTAGCAAAGCCATATACAGGTGGTCACTATCCAGTGAGTTTATATGGCCATATTTTAATATTCTTGTGGTATATGGCTACACAGGATACTTTGTTAAGCATAGGAACTAGATTTAAAGTGTCCCCAACAACAGTGATGAGTATAACAAATAAGGTGCTCTACTTCATGCTAAAACTAAAGTCAGCCTACATTAAGTTTCCCAAAAATGAAGCTGAAATGAGAGACATTAGTGAAGGTTTCAAGAAGTATCCAGGTAAGTAAACATTTCTGAATACTGCAAACCTAGGGTGATACCGCCCCCTGCATTTCACACAATTACTCCCCTATTGTTACTCTATATTTCCCCCAGAAACCGGTCAATATTTCCTTGGTGGTTTCCCCCTCATGTAAGGCCTAGTCATTAATGTTTTAGAGACAAATAGGTATTTAGTACAATTACTGTATATTATATTCAAACTTTTTTGGTTGGTCCTAATTGATGCCATCACAACCTGTCCTGTAATAGTATTTATTGGAATATACATATGTATTTAGTTAATAAGTTACATCTGTTTCCACTTTTCAGTTTATTATTATTTTCAGGGGTTATTGGAGCAGTAGATGGTACCCACATATTTGTAAAGGTTGAAAAAAGTCAACAAGATAGCTACATAGACCGCTATAGAAGAACATCTATAAATCTCATGGCAATATGTGATTCTAACACTTTATTCACCTATGTGTTTTTAGGATACCCTGGATCTGCTCATGACTCACGGGTATGTGTTAACAAAAATAAGAAGACGCCTCATTTTGAAGTGAATATTTATTACATCTTTATTATATTGCAATAAAACTTCAAACTAGTATTTAAGAGGAAGTGAAAAAAGCTTTGCACCAGTTACATTTTGTAGGAAAACATTAATATTTTTTTATATTTTTATACTTTAATTTCAGGTTTTTGAAAATTCAATTATGTGCAAAAACATTGAGAGACATGGGCCAAACTTCTACTTTTTGGATACTCAGAAATATCACCTAATTGGTGATAGTGCATTTGCATTAAGAACTTGGCTTATTACTCCTTACCGAGGCGACAATGTGACCAGAAAGCAAAAATTTCACAATTACTGTCTTAGTTCCGACAGAGTAAAAATTGAACATTGTTTTGGGGCATATAAGGGTAGGTGGAGAAGGGTGCAATATATAAATACCTATAACATTTGCAAAGCAGTGGAGATTGCAACAGCTGCATGTGTTCTACACAATTTTTGCATTTTGCATAAAGACACCTGGAGTAACGATTTTTTTGGAATTGACCTGGACAGAAATATAAATCAGGCTGAACTAGAAGATAGGGGTAACATAGAAGCAAAGCGGAAAAGAAATAGAATTGCAGACACTTTATTCTTATGCAGATATAACATAGAATAATATTATTGTACCATCTTTCAATTCAAATTGAATAAAAAACACAATTATTGGTTTGCGTTTTAATTTACTTATCTCTAGTTTCATTTTAACTTAATTATTATTGTACACACAAGGTTTGATAGTTATCAAAAAAGGTATATTACCTTTTTTTATGGATGGATTGACTTCTACACATTGGCAATGTCTTCCTTGAATAAAACTAAAATATTAGAACAAGAAACTATTTATTACACAATTTAAAAATCTCAAAAAAAAAGAAAAAGAAATAAATATTAATCGATAATAATCCTAGTCAGTGTCAGAATCGTTTGTATCACTCATTCTTCTTTTTTTGTCCCAAAAGCTGCCTCAACAATTTCTAAGAACCTGTCCTTTTGTTGTTCTGTTTTCTTCAAATGTTGTTTCAAAAAACTAAATTCTTCACTTCTTATTTTTCTATCCTTTTCCATTTCTCTTATCAGGTCATCATGCCGAGAAGGTGTTACCTTTCGAGTTTTTTTGAATCGGCTAACTGGTGTTGTTGTTGAGGGACCCAATTGAGTTTCCTCTGAATCTGTATGATCTGGTTGTTGCTGTTCTATTTCATTTTTCATACTTTCTGATGTTTCATCCATTGAATCCTCTAGATTCAATGGGGTTACCTTATGTTTGCATCCTAAAAATTATATTGGTAAGTACTTCCACCTGTTTTGACTAAGGAATCTAAAGATACACATTTTTGTTTTTTGATGGTTCATACCAGAATTTTTATAATTACAAACATGACAGAAGAACAATTAAAATATAGTCATGACATACAATAACAATACTACATACTTGCTTAAGATAGTAATGTGAAAGTAAAAGAAGATATTAAACTAACCTAGAATGGAGTGGAGCTCATCAAAAAATGGAGGAATGTCATCAATTCTCTCACTTCCTGTTGTAGTTTGATGCTTCATGTAAGATAAATAAGTTTTTTGCAAATTCGCAAACTTTTGACGACACCGCTCTCCTCCTTTGTTCCCAAGATGGAAATTATTTTTCTCTAACTCTTTTGCTATGTCATTCCACAATTTAAGTTTTCTGGTTCTTTTGTCGTCAAAGTAAGTACTTTTTTCGTCTCTTAAGGACAACATTAAATGAGTTGCTTCATTATCCATTTCAGAAGGCTTCTTCTTTGTCCAAATCATATCATTAATAGATGGTTGAATGGTTGAGTCATTTTCATTGTGGGGCATAGACCATATAGATTGAAAATCATTCTGAGGTTGATTTTCGGAGTCATTGTGCTCATGCTGAGACCCCAATGGACACATAGATAAAATATATTGCTCTGCAGCAGCAGCATCTAAAATTTCATACCAAACCTATTAGAATATAAAAAATATGCCACTCTCATAATTGATAAATCTTAAAGCAAAGTATGAGAGGTATCCAGTTCTGATACAGAGTTTATTATTGAATATGTGCATACCATGTAGAAAAAGTCACATAATATGTAGGTATCTAGAATCAATAGGGTCAGTTTTACCTTGCACCCCACCTGTTTAATATTTAATTAGCCCATAAATATCAGGCTTTTTCTACAAGGTATACAATATACTATTCCTTGCTTATCATACTACATATATAGTTACCATTCAAAAGTAAATTGGCTGTTTCAAGGTCTTTAACGCAGACCTCGTAGTCTACGCCTTCATAGTTTAAAGTTAGATAAAATTGCTCCATATTATTTTCAATTTAATAAGGAACTGCAAAACTGCTCTTTTAAACGCGCATATAACCTCACAAGTACGACGAAAATATCCAATACCCGCCAAAATTCTAACTTGTCACATTTCAAATAATAACCAGAAATATAAAACTGCTCGGGAGTTGGGTAAATACCACAATTTTGCGGTGATAACTATGACATATAACAGCTGATTCGTGACGTCACGGATCTTATAACCAAACTGATAACTACACTCGCTTGAACGGATCGGTAAATACCAACCCAAAATGGTAAATACTATTTCCATTTGGTTATCCGCTTGAATTTGATTTATGTTCTCGAGTGGGAGTCACGGCTGAACTCTCCACATCATCTGGTAGCAGTATTTACAAAAATAAAGTAAGGATCATTCCTGGGTGTTCCGTTGTAAATAAGGGCTCTTCAATCTTTTTGAGTGTTGAACAATTATTCTTCTTCCACTTCTAACCGCGTTTTCTTGATATTTTGTAGAGGAAGAACAGTTGAACAAAGTGACAAGCCATAACCACTTTATGGTCAAATGATATCCATATCTGCAGAAGGATCGATTGCTGCAAGGTGCTGTTCCAACTTTGGTCGTAGACAGAGCCAATAAACATACCTGAGAATAATGAAGAAACGATTGAAACTGAAAAAGAGTTTCAGCAGAGATAACTACAAAAATGATAACAACAACTTGGTACGGGCTGGCCGAGATGTCTTGTGCCTTGTACTAAGTTGAAAACATACTAGGAATATCAAAAATTTAAAATGCTTTTACTGACATGCTTCTTTAAAAGTAAATGCATATTTTAGTTATACCTACACCTCATAATTTACTAAATAGTAAAAGCTTCTTGTTTTATTAGACATTCACAGTATGTAGTATGTTACTCTTCATTTAACACCACCTAATACACATTCATTGCAAAAACATGTCTGGGACTTACGTGGTTTTTACGTGCACTATTTGATGGTGGGTATTTGAATTGGTCATTTCAAAAACAGGACCAGTGTCTGTGTAAATTGGGAGGCGTAGGATATATCTCATACATACATATAGGTAATTTGGGGTGCTGAATTTGAATATCATCATAAAAAAACCTCACAATAGAGTGGGGCCGAATTAGGGGTGAAAAATTTGTAACAAACTTGTGAGATTGACCTAGAAAACAAGCTTGTATAAAGGTTATTTACTTGCAACAATTTGTGGCGATTTTTTATTAGTTATTGCGATTAGTAGAATCCTATTTGACAAACAAACACCTCTAATGGGAGCAGTAGAATTTATTGGAGGATTAGAGAATTTGGGAACTGCCACCACTATGTACACAATGACACATTTTTCTAGCTCTGGTACTAATATAGTTTGCACCTCATGAATGCTGGGGCACATGAACCTTGGTATAATGGCGCCAATAGGATTATTCTCATTTGAACTGACATAAACGATGCCACAGACTCCACACGGATAAACAAAATGTTCGAAAATGAGGGTAGCTCTCTGATTCGCAGTTTGCATTTGTTGTTGTCACAGTGTGGCTACTCCTATCTCCTATGAACGAATTTTTCTCCAACAAAAAATCCTTAGTGTTTGACATGTAAATGTATAAATGTGTATCTTTTAAATCGGTCAATACAGTTGATGAAAGCTTAGATATTTCTAAATCGGTACGCAATATTTTGGCTTAACTACCGTCCAATGGATTGCACTGCAAGTATCTTGAAAGCACCTCGCAGATTTCAATGATTCATAGAAAACTCGGTAAATCCTGATATAGTTGTATAAGAGGAATCTTTGTTTTTTAACAATAAAGAAAATGCGTAATATTACTATGGAACACATAATATTCCAAGGAAGAATCTGAATTTGTTAACAAAAATGGGGGAATTTTAACCCCGTCGCAGCTATTTAAGTTTGCTGAATTTGGAGAATGCCTTGATATTGACATTTTCGGATTGAATGATAATGATTCGCTTTCAGCAGCCAAATAGCGTATATTCATGATTTGTTTACGTTCCACACTGACTCATCTTTTGTTCTATCTGGAAGGTAATATGCATATTCTGCTCTGCCTTGGGTTCTTCAAGTGCGAGTTTCATTCCTAAAGAGGCCACTAGAAAGTTTCTGTGTCGGATTCTCTACGTTAATCATTGCTATCACAATATTGCAATGTTAGCATCAATGTGATATCCATTTCGTATTTTTGAAATTTGCTTCATGTTATTTACAAAAATAAAAATCCTAATGTTAACAATTTCATTTCATTAATTCCTAACTACGCCAATGGAATGGAACAATCTAGAAAATTCCAAAACTGACTTGTCCACCATCTAGTGTGGTAATCTTCTAATTTCATTATATTCATTGTAAAGATTTCTATCTTAATACCGGGTGCGCCAGAGAAACTTACTTATTTGAAAAAATTCCCGCGCGGTGAGCTGGGCGGGTAGAGGGGCGAGAGGCGGCGCATCTGGAGGGGGAAGTTCCCAAGTTTATTTCTCGCTCCAGTCAGTTGCCATCATGCTCTGGTCTAGAGAACAGCGGGCCTTCGCAGTCGAGAGCTTCTTTTCTAACGGTCGCTCAGTTGTTGCTACGCAACGTGCCTTCCGCGCTCGCTTTGAAATTCCTCCTCACAGACTCGTTCCTGGCCGTAATTCGATTCTGTCGTGGGTTGACTCATTTCGGGAGTGTGGAAGTGTCGCTAAACCCAGAAATGGACTTCAACGGACCATCAGAACTCCGGAAAATGTATAAGGTAGCTTATGACCCTTTACGCATAGATGGCGCTAAGGTTACGGTATTGTAGTGATGAAGCTAACCCAACTAAAAAATAGATTCAGTTAATTTATTCTAAATCCAATGTTAGATTCGTTTAATGTAAACCATTTCAAAATAAGCAAGCTCATCACAAGGTTTAAATGTCAACGTACACCATTCGTATGACATTTGACGTTGCACGACAAATTTGGTTGAATATGTTTGACAAATACAGTCAGGAGTTTTCATTTTTAATCTGGTTCAACCGTAATTGTGCAATATGAATGTTGTTCATGGTGATACAGTATTAAAACGTAAAATATGAAATGTTATGAGGGAGAAATCCTAAGTTAACTACTGCTTCATTTAGGTGAACCCGTACGATTCTGTTCAATAACCAGGCCACTGAAGGGGTTACACATTTGAAGAATGTTATGGTGGGTTCATGCACGATTTAAGGTAACTTAACTTAAGAAAATGAGCATTTCATGCGCATGCGCGGCCAGGATTGCCAACGTAGCAGTTGAGGCAACATGAAAGTTAAATACCCTTAAATAATCATATGTTTAACGTCAAGGTAGCAGATGAAAGAGTGTTTTGTGGCTTATGTGTCACGTGGACTGGCGAGCCAGCCTTGACGTTGACAAGTGGCCCCTCCCCACACGCTTACGCCAATGCAGGTCAAAGAACTCGGATAATAGTCCAGATAATATGGGAACATCTGCTCGGAAAACTTCCGATTTCTATTTTTGCATAATCTGATTCAAGGACCTCTTAAAGAATCTGCATGTGACTAGGCCCAAAATTGCTCCAAAAATTGTTATTAAACCGATTCCAAAAATTGATTTGTTCACTTTGTTTAAAGTATTTTGCGGTTTTTAGGACATTCTAAATAAAAAATGAGCTTTAGAACTTTTCTTTAGACTTGATATATACAGGTATAAGCAATGTAAAAACTCAAAATATGTCATTTGCTACCCTAAAAACAATATGAAAAATGAATATTTTGTTGTTGCCAAATCTCACACATGCTTCAACCAACCAATAACAAAACCCCCAGAGCATTTGAATGCGCGCTCAATGTATAGTCTATGTCTATGTGAACGCGAGAGAGATGAAATATCTCTCGTGCACGCTGAATATGCATTGAGCGTCCGCTTGCATATAAACTAAATACAAAGATTTATAATAACAGTATCTCCTAAAAGGTATCGTTAATGGTTATTTATGAAGCATGGCGACATTAACATTTTCGTTTTTTCAGATCGTTTTTCGGTATCGCAAAATCAATTTTTTGTACTTTCCCATCTCGTACAAAATCAACTTTTGACAAACATTGTCAAACATCATTTTGTTTCGGAGTATCAAAAAAACGAATGCTACCTTTGATGAAGCGAAAACATTAATTTTTGTAATTTATTTGAAAAAGTTGTTCAAACAATTAGAGACGCAATTTGGAGCCTGACAACATGTAGATTTTTTACTAGGAGGCTTTTTCGAATAACATGCAAAAAGTCCGAATCCGAATATTTTCCTGAGCAGATGTGAAGATATTTCTTGGACTATAACCTCGACGGCAGCGCCACTTTTCTTGGCTGGAAATCTGGTGGAACTATAAATATTGAAAGTATGCCGACAACGCATATCAGGAATGTCAGGAATGTGTCGGCGATTTCATTTGTTTACGTTATGAAATTGACTGACGACCGATATTGAGGCAGTTCGATGATCATAGATGCATAACACATCCTCAATAAAGGGAGTATTTCTTTCATCAGTTTGACTAGTAATGAATATCAGGATAATAAAAAAATGTATAATTAAAAAAATATTTACTGAACAGTCACAGCAATAATAGAACAAATTCTTCATTACAATAAATTGTACATACATAGAGGTATTCTACTCATCTGGATTTTTCTCTATATTATGAACCTGATCAGTGCAATATCATGCAAGCACTATCTCTTGTTAATTGATCAGGTATATTTATTGCAAAAACATAAATACTAAAATAACAAAAAATACATCTGTAGGTAGAGGACTGACTGGAATACAAATATAATCACTCAGATATGTGAATCAAAAATAGTTTTGCGCACACTGTTTAATGGGTAAAGGCAAACAAAATTGTCCTCAACAAAAAAAACCACATAAAACAGTAATTGTTTCTTCAAACTAGGAAACAAACTCTCATTGGCAATTAATTTGGTATCCATAAAATAAATGACGATCTTCATTCCAACTGTCTCCTCGAAGGATTTTGACACTGTGAAACAAAAAAAAAATTATTAGCATAATATCACTGTCATATTTGGTCAGCAAGCACTAAACAGAAACATAGTCATCTCACCACGCCCCTTCAGATGATACTGCTCTGTACATATGTATAAATTTCCAATCTAGCAGTATACATTTGATTGCCAAAATTCTGTGTTTAAAAAAAAAATTTTCATTGGTGATACCAAATGCCAGTTCTTAATTTGGCCCTTTACCAGGTTTGTTATTATCAACAGTACAGATGTCACAAAAAAAGTTACGTGCTACTCAATCTGTTTACCTCAATAAATGTCAAAAGAGATTACATATTTGGTGGGCTGCGAATACACAGCATTCGTCAGGTGTACACCTGGTTTGTAGTTAATGACAAAGTACCTTCACAGTGTTCTGTGAGGTTTTGGAAAAACATGTCATGGGGGGCATGGTATAGATTTAAATTCTCTTTTTTCTTCTGTAGGGGCTATAATTTGCCAACATCACCACTGGTACAGTCTCAGACATGAAAGTGTTTGCATCTATCAGCTATGAAGTCAGTACTACAAGCACAAAATTTTAAGATCATTTCCATTTTTTTTTTTCGTTCTCTAGAATATAATTTCAAAATCCTCTATCTTGGTATTTTTTTCATGCTGTTTTTTGATCTAATTTATGAAGGAAACATGACCACTGACTTTAATTATTATAATTTTTAACATACATGATTTTTTTTATCAATCCGCCCCGATGTTCAGCTCTAAACTGTCATGCGTAAGCAAGCGCAAATAATTTTTCATACAAGTATCACCGAACCATCTGCCCATACACAGCGATATAAAATCGATCAAACATCACGATATGAATATCGACTATCGACTTTTGTACAGTATCGATGGCTCGTAGCCATCTTCTAATTCCAGCTGTAGCGATCAGCTGACCAACGCTAGTGATCCGATTGGTTGGTTCTTAAGGAAAAGTTCAATATATTGAACTTTAATTTAAGAAGTGACCTTGAAATTAAGAAAACGACCATAACCTCAATATATTTGTCATTTATGCAAAAATGAACTGATTTGGATACTTACTGCAACGTCATCATTAGGCGCTCCTCTGGCGATGTCCGATTGCGTTCAGGTGACTTCTGCAGGTACCTCTTCAACAAGGTCAGGAGTTGATACCACCGCGGCTTTTTGTTATTTTGCTCTAGGCATGGCCATCCTCAATTAATCGCACAAAAAACAAGTCAAAGGCAGAAAAACACACCCGAAGACGAACACCAAAACAAATCTCTACCACAAATTCGTCAACAACTCAAACAAAAACAACAGATGAGTCACTGCCTGGCTTTCTGGGTAAATCGTCGTGGAACACGGGACACCACAGAATTATTATAATTACGTCAATACGAGCATAGAACAGTATGGAAAGGGTAAGACGAGTTCCGAAACCACCCGAATCATGTCAAAAAATGGGTGTGACGTCACCAAAACGTTTGACCACCACTGGAAGTCACTAGCTAGTTACTATCTGGAGGCGTAACATGTGGAGGACACTGGTGTAGAAACAACTGATCCTTAAGTTCGGTTAGTTTAAGTCGTGCATGAACCCGACATTAGTATTTGAAGGCCTGTGTGAATAATCACAAGTTTGAAGATTGGATGTGATCTAACCAATGCACATATCTGAAGAATATGATTTGGAGGTCATGGCATCGTAAGTGTTTAAATAATTCAATAATCAGTGATAACGATGGTGTAAAAAGTAGTGATAAGGATGGTGTAAACCAGCTATTTCCAGAGCATCATCTCTGATGTAGTTTCAGTAAATTCAAAGCTGTGTGAACACTTTAAAATAATAATACTGTTTATTGGAGTATTAATATATAATATAATCAAAATACGAGCAAATGATATAACACAAAAAATAATACTCCAAAGGGCGGGGGATTGGTATAGCCATTTTTCACCCCTGCCTGAATAGCTAAGGTAAATTAAATGATTTTTAAATGCATTACTATATCTTACTAGGGCATATCATATACATCATATAACTGACAATAATAATGCTGACAAAACTTTAAAATATAATAATATGAATCTATTCAACCACCTGTAGATTCAAGAAATTGTAACTGTACTAGCATTCTGTTGAATTCTCTTTTAAACCTGTGAACGGATTTGGGTAATCATTTAGTACACTGGGCAGTATGTATTAG